TGACATCACATTTTTCTGGTGCCAATATAAACAAGGGAGCTACCTTTCCATAGTGGGGATAAACTAGGTCTGTTTTTTTATTGGCTTACAATAAAATAAATTTAAAACAATAAATGTGTTATTATTTATTGTTTTAAATTTATTTTATTGTAAGCCACCCTAAGAGCTTTGGATACAGGGCAGGATAGAAATATTTTAGTAAAAATAAAAATAAATAAATAAATAAATAACTTTCTGTGTATTCCTGTCTTCCAAGAATTTATTCACTATTGTTAAATCCTAGTATACCTTAAGCAGTAGGTACCTTCCATGTTGGAGTGTGTATGTATATGTGATTCCAGGGATCTCCATACAGTGCTTGGAAAGAATCATGTTTGAAACACTGGATGACCAAAACTACCAATCAGAACTGACAGTATTAGTCAAATGGACTAATGGTTTGATTCATTACAAGGCAGTTTTTATGTTTCTATGTAAAGTGATTTCTGAGAGTCAGTGAAGTATAGTGGTTTGAGTGCTGGACTAGGACTCTGGAAATCAGGGTTCAATTCCCTGCTTAGCCATGGAAACCCACTGGGTCACATTGTGCATTCTATGCAATCATGCTGGCCACATGCCCACAGAGTAGTCTCTGACAACGCTGGCTCTTTGGCTATGTAATGGGGATGAGCATTGTCCCCTATGGTTGGATATAATTTGACAACCTTGTCAATGGGGAATACCTTTACCTTTACCTTTTACAGGTTGGACAAGTCACAAATTCTCAGTCCCAGAAAACCCCATTATAGGTTTGCCTTAGCATCACCATAAGTCAGAAATGACTTGAAGACAAAAAACAACAGAGTGATTTCTACAGCCTATCTCTGTTTACTCTTTAAAACCTGCACTTTAAATCTGCTCTTGGGGGCAACAAGATTATGTGGTGAGGTACAGGATACCTCCTTGCACAAGCTCATTTACCAACAGGATCCTGGACCTTGTTACTTTTGAGAAAAAGGACAGCAAAGAGTTACTTTTTAACAATTCTAATGAAAATAGTAAATACCAATAAATTTCAAGTACTCTAGAGTTACTCTACCTTATATTTTCATGACAGTGGTTGTATGTTTTCCTTAGCGCTGTGAAAGCTTGAATCTCTTTGGTTTTTGTTTGCTTTGTAGATATTAGTGGTACAGACCCTCCACTAGGGACAAAATAGAAACACCATCATGCTCTTTTCATCCATGCCCTCTTAAAAAAGATATTTCACCTCAAGACTCTCAGGTGAATCTAACTGCCAGTATGTAGAAGCCTCCTTGTTATCAAAGAAGCAAATATTTAAGCATCAGTTAGGCTGAAGAAGTTGAAATCCCTACAGATTCAATCCCAGCAAGGGAAGCCATAACCAGCGTTGTTCAATTTAATTAGGGATCTAAAGCTGAGTATTAAAGTCAAAGCTGCAAGCCTTTTCCCTGTTAATGAGGTGAATTGGGAGACCTTTTTTGTGTAAGGTAGGACAGGGTAAGGAGAAACAGAAGTTGACAGTTTATATGGAACAGCACAACAAGGCTGCAAGGCTGGAGACTACCACCCATGGCAACAGAAGAAACTGGTGCTATAAAGGTAACTCAGAGGCAGAGAAAGAGGTGGTTTCTTTGGGAATAAAAAGAATTAATAAAGGGCTAACACAATCATGCAGAGGTAAGCAATTTCCAGCAGATGGGGCCTGCCAAATTGACAGGTGTCCACACCAATGGGAGGGGACATTGAAAGCTCCACAAACCCACAATGTGTCCTCCACCAGCTTAAAGACTGCAATTTTTCAACACATAGCTCAGAAAAGTTCCTTTTTGTATACTCTGAACAAGGATAGAATCAATACCCAAGATCAGCTTGATCCACTCCAGTATGATCCTGAAAGAATCAGGAACTGTTTTTATGGTTTGTATATAGTCTTTTAATGAATTTTAATATTTTTAACTTTATAAATTATTTGGGTATTTTAATAACTTTAATATTTTATTGAAGTGTTTGTATACCTTTTAATCTGCATTATTTCTGAAAACATTGTTAGCTGCTTTGAACTTCACTGTTGGGAGAAAGGTGGGATATAAATGAATAAAATAATAACAACAACAGCAGTCTTCAACATGCTGAGAAGCTCTGGGTATGCACATAACATCTGTGCATACAGACTGTGTGTGTATTTATGTGTATACACACACACACATGCACACTCACGTGGGTCAATGGAAGTATAGTGTCTAGATCAAAGGAAGTAAAATGCCACTCTATGCTGCTCTGTTCAGGCCTCACCTAGGACGTTTTCACATGGGGCAAAAGTAGGACGCTAGCCGGCCTCCCGCCGGCCTCACTCCGGCTCCATTTCCCGTGTGTTCACAAACACGCGGCGGCAAACCCCACCCCTTCCAGTGTCATCCCTGCGTCCAGCCGGCTTTTCGCTCCGTGTGTTCAAACACACAGAGCCCTAAGTCCGGCGTCACTCCGGACGAACCAACGATAACTCCGGCTGAAGCAGCATAAAGGTAATTCCGGCTGTCCAACAGGAATTAGCCTTTCGGCGGCGGAGCCATTCCGGAATCGGCGGCACAACACGTTCCGGAATGGCTCCACCCGGCTTTAGGAGGACAGTGTGAAAACGTCCCTAGAATACTATGATTCTATGAGTGAAACATGAATTTATACAGTTTGTACATATGAACCATTCAATAGGTTGGGGACAGCTGCTTTAAGCATTCATTGCAGAATAGGCAAATAAGGCTACTGTCAGAACACAGTCTGCATGTATCTATTTCTGCTAGTGAGAGAAATTTCAGACAGGTTGAGTGGCTGATTTCAATTAACAGGATTTTTATCATTTTTCCTACATAATGTTTCTTCTTTGCCTGTAGTTGTGGGTCCCCTCCTCAATAACTTCAGCAGACAAAGGTAGGACAAGGGCAAGACATAGAAACAGAATCTGTTACTGGGCAAACAAGCATGGCAAAGGGAAATTGATGGGAGAATAAACAAAAGATAGAAGGGAGATGAAGTAGGGCTTACGGTGAAGATTAGGCAGGAAAGGAAGGGAAATGGATAGAGAGGGGGAGGGATTGCTATATAGCAGTCTTCCTTCAGTTGGTGCTTTCCAAATATTTTGCTATTGTTGTTGTTAACTGCCCTTGAGTTGGTTCTGACTCATGGCAACCCTGTGGATGAGAAATCTCCAAGAATCCCTATCTTTCACTGCCTCTCTTTCTTTTACCTTCTACCTTTCCTAGCATTATTGTATTTTCTACTGATCCATGCCTTCTCATTATGCGACCAAAGTACAATAGTCTCAACTTGAACATCTTTGCTTCCAAGGAGTGCCTTGGTCTGATCTGTTCAAGAACCCATTTGTTTGTCTTCTTGGTTGTCCATGGTATCCTAAGTACTCTTCTCCAGCAACACATTTCAAATGAGTTGATTTTTTTTCTATCTGCTTCCTTCATTGTCCAGCTCTCACATCTAAATTTACAAATATACTGGTCTACAATACATACTATTCACAGCCTGAAGGGGCATCGGTACCAGGATGTAAAAGATCTACATATAGAAAAACTTCTTTCAGTGCAGCATAATCTCTGGTAAAACTACTTGACTTACAGTGGAAAGGAAATGGTGCCATCTTTTCCTGTAAAATTAAAGTTTGTCTGGCTGCAGCTATTGCAGCAGCAGGGAGGAAAAAAAACAAGAATATCATCATCTCTGCTGAACAGACCATTTCCTCAGGCTGTGCCTCTCCATCAACTGGTGTTCTGCAGTTGTGTATAGCAGAGGAAGAGAGATGAGAAGCAAGCCCAAGGGGGTATCCAGCAATTTTGAGATCCTCTTCTCATGGATTTTTCTCTCTCCAGCCAATCAAGATAAAATACTAGCTGTTTTTGGATGCATTCCTACATTACATCTGGTTGTTATAAGAACCATACAATGTTAAGAATTGTTTTATGTATTTATTTATTGAATTTATGCCCCACCTTTTTCCTGAGATGGGCTCCAAGGCAAATATATTCAATCATTTTCTTTTTTGCTTTTGCACCACTCGCTTAGATTCTGTGGAACTACTGGATGAATGAGAACTGCAAACATCATTACAAAACTTTAAACAATTTGGAGATTTATGTAAGCATTTTTTAAAAAGAATGTCAACAATACTGAATATTTTATACTGAACCCATATACCATCTCCCACAGTTCTGTGCACCCCCAGAAAACATCAGTGAAGGATTTGTTTGGAGAAATCTTGCCTCTCAATATTTCTTAGAGGCAATAAATCTTAAATAAAAAAATATAAAATAGGTAAAAATACTTAACATAAATTCCAATAATTTCCTCATTCTATTGCCTCATAAATCAATGCATTAAATTCATATTGCCTATGAATTTGATGGTAAGAGCCTAGTTCTTATCACTGGCAAACACAGCTCCAATCCTCTACACCTCTTTTTCATCTCTTCATTTCAAAGATGAAAACCAGGACACCTGAGACCAAGTAACATCAGAGCAGTCATGATGGTAAAAGTTATTAATGAGGAAGAACACACAAACGAGAAGATGCTGCAGCAGTTTGCTTTTGACAAAGTCTACAGAGAAGTGCACTTCAATCCTCCTCATGCTTAGTTAATTGAGTACAAACTACCTTTGCACTTCAAACTCGGTTTGCAACAATTAAAGTAATCTGAGGACAAAGGAGGAAATAGGGAGGAGGAGAGAGAAACTTTGACATTTTAAAAGCAGCTGAAAAAGTGAGACAACAGAGGCTTGATTTGGATTGTCCCTGTCAAATCAGAACAGTTAGAACATAAGGAATGGCTATTTGTTTTCCCAATGCCATCACAAAGATTTTAAGTGCATACATACACCTGTTAGACTGCAATCCCCTAGGCAGCCTTGGACAGACATAGCCCAGCCATGCTCACAGACAGATTATGGGAACTGTAATCTAAAAACTAACTTATCTGAGACATACATACATTAGGGGCCCTAAAAATTAAGTATGCCAAAGCAATATATATATATATATATATATATATATATATATATTGTGAAACAAGAGGACTGTAAAGAAAAAACCCCACAGAATTTGGGGAGGTGGAATAACTTTTGGTTCTACTTGGAAGAATCTGCTGGGCACAGGCTTTATGAAGCAACCTTTTTCTCCTCTGTGCAAATAATGTAGTGTCCTCATATGCCTTCTTCTTTCTCTTTTTGTAAAAGAATCTATTTTAAAATCTGACTAACTGAGACAAAACAAAGTGCCCCTCTGGCTCTGCTGGATGAGATCTGTCACCAACAGGACACTTCTCTTTAGCTACTGTGGCAGATCCACATCGACCTTTGAGTTACATGCTACACAAAAGCACATAACAGACCTATAAGGGAGAGTTATTTACCAGAATAAGTGCTAGAAGGCAAAATGATATTCACCACTCTGGATGCATTATGAAATCTGGGCATGAAGGCCTGCAGCTCTATCATTAAAGGACCACATGACAACACTTTTCATAACATGGGCAGGAGGAAGGAAAAGCATATTTGCATG